TCTTCCCCCTCCTCCTCCCTCCCCCACCCCCACTTGGCTCGTGCCCAGCATCCACAGCTCCCCATGAAGTCAACCCAGGACAGGAAGAGCATTTTAATTCTGATTTATTGAGAAGGGTCGGATAAAAAGGGGTCCTCTTTTCACAGAGGGAACCCCGGGCGCCCGCCACGTCGTTGCCTTCTCTCCTCTCGTCACAAACACATCAAAGCAAAATGCAAAAGGGAAGTCGGGCAGGGTAGGAAACCACTCACACAAAAGTGAAACGTGTTGTATAGAATAACCAGGTGGGTTCAGTCCAACGGACTTCGTGGAAGCCGCGGGCGTCCAAATTTAGGAAGGCGACGAAGGGAAAAAAAAATTGTGGAAGGTTATCTGGAGTCCAGGTTGGGACACAAATCCGGTGTCAACATTCAATCTGTCAATCACCCAGGTCAAGCCACACTAAAGAGTTCTCCCATCTGATCAGAAGGCAGACAACCTGTCAATCACCCAGGTCAATCAACATTAAATAATTCTCTATTTTATCAGAAGGCAGAGAAGAAAGAAGGGATGGTTTCGTGGAGGGGGAGAGCTGAATGCACACCCGTTGCTCGGCGAGTGGGGCCATCAGCACTCCCAAGAGTGGGGCCGTGAACACCCACAACGCTCGTGCGAGTGGTGCCACGAATGCCCGCGACACTCGGGTGAGTGCCTGCGATGCTCGTGCGAGTGGAGCCACGAAAGCTCATGATGCTCACATGAGCGGGGTCGCGAGCCCCCTCTGCATGAGTGGGGCCGCGAGTGCCTGGGCCGCTTGCGCGAGCGGGGCCATGAACGCAGGCGACACTCGTGTGATCGGGGCTGCGTGTGCGTGCCTACAGACATGCACCAGCCAGCCCCATCACATGGCCCGGTGTTTTGGGTATCCCTGTTCGGTGGACTCTGGGTTTCCCTTTTTCCCGCCTTTTTTCTTCTCTGCGCTGTGCATCGTTTAATTCAGTGTTTCTCAACCTTGACAATTTTAAGGCATGTGGACTTCAACTCCCAGAATTCCACAGCCAGCAATGCTGGCTGTGGAATTCTGGGAATTGAAGTCCACATGCCTTAAAATTGTCAAGGTTGAGAAACACTGGTTTAATTTACCTCATGATGTTCCGGTGTTCCTGTCTGCTCGTGCATGAGGTGATCTATGCTGTGATTGGTTGCCCCAAGTATAAAGAGGGTGTTTCTCTTTTTTCCCGCCTTTTTCTTCTCTGTGTTCTGTACGCTGTTTGATTTTACCTCACGATGCGCCTACCTTCCTGACTAGCCTGTATCGTTTCTCCCTGGAGGACAACAAAAGACCTCTATAAATTAGAACGGGAAATACATTTATAATACGGAAAACTCAACCAGTTTGTGTTAAGTGTCTCCGATTTCTTCTGGACAGCTGCTGCGCAATTCCACGACACTTCATCTTATTTTGTCTTTGTCATCTTATCCTGTCTCACCTCCACCTTGTCATTTGACTTGACTTGTCACAAGGTCGCTAAAGAGGATCACATGATCCCGGGACACCGCAACCATCATAAATACGAGTCAGTTCCCAAGCATCCAAATGTAGACTATGTGATCATGGGATATGCTGCAAAGGTCATGTGAAAACCGGTCGTAAGTCACTTTTTTGCGTGCCGTTGTAACTTCGAATGGCCACTGAAAGGGTTGTTAAGTCAAGGACTACGTGTAGAACTGGTTTCACCCATCTGGAATACTGTCGGATTAAGGGGGAAAAGGCTTTTTTGATACCGCCGTAATTGGGGTCCCACTCCTGGGCTGGACCGGGATGAAGGCAAGGCCTACGGCGGCATGGAGAAGGACACGATCCTGCTACCCTTGGGGAAGACAGAGGGAAATCTTCAAAAATGAGCATCCACTTCTCTCGCTGAGTCCAGGAAAGGTTGGGAAGATCCCCGGCGGACACCCCCAGCCCCGTTTCGGCAGGCCGAGGAAAAGGGAGAAGCGGAGAGGACACCAGAGCAAAAAAGATGTTCCCGCACATTTGATTGTATACTTCCCGAACAAAGAAAGGGGAACAAAAATTACAGGATAGTCCTTAACTTACAACAGTTTGCTTAGGGACCGTGCAGAGTTACAGCGGCACTGAAAAAAAGTGACTTATGACCAGTTTCTACACTTTTATGACCGCTGCACCATCCCCGGAGTCACGTGATCAAAAGTCGGACGCTTGGCGACCGACTCGTATTTAGGATGGTCGCAGCGTCCTGGGGTCGCGTGATCAAAATTCAGATGCTTGGCAACCAAGTCATATTTACGATGGTCGCAGCATCCCGGGGGTCCCGCGATTCCCCTTTTTGAGAACCAGCAAAGTCAACGGGGAAGTGAGATTCCCTTGACGACCGCGGGACTAATTTATCAACTGCAGCGACTCGCTTAAGAACCGGGGTAAGGCCGGTCGTCAAATGGGGCAAAGAAACCTCACAGAACACATTAGGAACAGAAATTTGGGGCTCTCTTGCGGTCGTAAGCCGAGGACTAGCTGCTACATCGTTTTGTGACCGGGAGGCAACATGACACCGTAATTCGAACCTTAAGAGAATAAGTAGCGATACACAACGACAAACGCGTTCCTGAGGCAGGAAAACAACCTCTTGCAAACGCAAAAGGCCAACCAGAGCGGAAGGAAGCAGGCGAAGATCCGGTGGCTGAACCTTTGGCGGGCGTTTCGGTTCTGCTCGACGAACCGCTTGACGTGCTCGTCACGCAGGTGGGGCTCCAAGTACAGCTGGTTGACGTAGTGTCTCCCCCCGTTCTCAAAAACGACTCTCTGCACCATCTCCATCAGCTCCGAGACCTGCCTCTCCCGCTCGGCTCCCGTGGCCTTGTTGTTGAAGCCGCAGTAGCGGTTCCGGCACTGCCAGATCAGATCCTGCAAATTCCGATTGTCGGATTTTTGGACGTACTCCTCCAGGGGGTCCCCACCCAGATCCTCCAGGCAGGTGAACAGGACGATCGTGTACCTGGCAGACTCGGCCCCAAAGATATCCCGGACGTACATGGCGGCGGCGGCGTCCTCGGCGGAGAAGCGCCCCACCTGGGTCACCAAGATCAGGGCGTGGGGGCCGGGCCGGGATAGCTGAATGCAAGATATGATCTCGCGTCGCACAATCTCCGTGTGGTTTTCGGAATCGAAAATGCCAGGCGTGTCGACCACGGAGATCTTCATGCCCCGCCAGGTTCCCTGCCCACTCTGGGACCTCAGGGTGGTGGTCCTTGCAGTCAAGATGGAGTCGAAGGCCCTCTGGTCGAGCACGGTGTTGCCCGAGGCGCTCTTCCCGCCTCCGGACTTTCCGACCAGGATCAGCCGGAAGTCGGCGTTCTCCCCTGCGAGGTTGGAAGGCAACATTAGAGAAATACGGACATCCACTCTAGCCCTCGAGTGCTGATGATCCATCCTTCCTTCCTTCCTTCCATCCATCCCCTTCCTTTCTTTTCTTTTTCTCCTTCCTTCCCTCTTGCCTGCCTCATTCCTTCCTGCCCCTTCATTCCTTCCATCCCCTTTCCCCTTCCTTCTTTTTCCTTTCTCCTTCCTTCCCTCCTGCCTGCCTCCTTCATTCCTTTCATCCCCTTTCCCCTTCCTTCTTTTTCCTTTCTCCTTCCTTCCCTCCTGCCTGCCTCCTTCCTTCCTTTCATTCCCTTTCCCCTT